ATTGCACGCATCAATACACTTTTCACGCGACATTTAAAGTGAAAATACAACCAAATTATAATTTTCATTCTTGACTGATTTATTGGGTATGGTGAGAATTAAGAATTGGATTGTGGTTAAGGAAATTCTACCCATTTTTACCTTTTTTTTTTTTTATTGAATATTTTAACTTTACATTATAGTTTAACAAGAATCAGGGGTGTAACTAGGACCCAAGTTGAAGAATCATAGAATGACTTAAGCTCTCACTAATACATATACAATGAAATACACTCACTGACACACATTCCCACTGATAGACACACAGGCATTGGCACACACACTGTTTAACCAACACACTTTCACTGACAGACACACATTTTCATTGACAGACACATGCACTTACTGGCAGTCACACACTATCAGATGCAAATAAACTGACATTTGCACACTCACTGACAGACACACACACACTCACTGAATGACAGGCACATACTCGTAACAGTCACACTTTCACTGACTTGAAACACACTGAGAGACACACACTCACTGAGAGACACACACTCACTGTCAGACACACACTTACACTGACAGGCACACACAAATGCTCACTGACAGAAACACACTCACTGACAAGACACACACTGACTGACACACAAACTCTCTGACAGACACACTCTCGCTGACACATACAAACACACAGTCACTGACAGAAATACACTCTCACTGATTTGGCACTGGTTTTTTTTTTTTTATTTGAGGCTCACCCAGCCTTCCTACCTTTGACAGAGCTTGTGTGTATCCTCTGCCTGGGTTCCAGTGGGGATCCTCACTCTGTTGTCCAGTGCAGGGCTGCTTTAATTTTACTGCTCTTTCTCACTGCTCACTCATGCACCCTTTACCGATGTTGGAGCCGGAGTGACGTCATATCCTGGCTTCCACTATCACCTCGTGGAGCATGAGGAAGCAGTGCTGAAAGAGCATGAAGATCAATACTCCCTTTCCACCCATTTAAGCCCCCAGACATGGTATATTTTGGCAGAGTAGGCACCTGCTGTTCAGGTAAGAAAGTGCTTACTCTGCCTTAGTAGATATCTGTCGATCTTTGGGTCCTATGGTGGTCAGCCGGGAAGTTCATGGGCCCCTTTTACAGGTGAAATGCAGTAGACCCGGTCACACTAGTGGCCTCTGTAGTTTCGCCACTGACAAAAAATGTAAACTATTTTCTAAATTATTCTGCTCCCATCCTGATTCTTCTTCTCATGTAGCACAGTAAAAATAATAGTGAATAAACAAAAATACTGCGTTGGGCCTTCAAAGAGAGTATGGTTTATTCTATACATTGTGCTGGCCAAAAATGTAAAGAAAGATGTATTGATACAAAATTATATTACTTTAAGACTTCAACAAATATCAATAACTAATGGCATCAAGATTATAAAGAAACCATAAATATGTTGAGTGCGGTGGACTGCATGCACCTGGGCACAGTATACCACAATGCAATGCATGCAGACAAATATAAAGTATTATGTGATGCTGAGCTCGGTACTTTGCCAGAGAATAAATGTGTGCAAATCCCCCAGCATAAACCAGAAGACAAACATTCGGTTAGAAAAAAACTTTAATCTTTAAATTTCATGTTTTATCCAGGAAAAAATAAATCTTGTCCTGACTTTGGAAGACAACAGCTGCACTTTAATATAATGTCGATTCCTAAAGTATCAAAAGTGAAACAAGAGACAATTCTTCCAGCACCATAAGTAGCAAATTTAGTTGATGCACTTTGGGGCACTTTTATGGATGCACCAGCAAGACAGTCCATAACGTAACATAACATGAGAGATACATTTACAATCATGTCCTACTGTATTTCAGCTGAAAGTGTTTTTTAGATTCCAAAAGTGATCTTCATTTTAACAATGTGTTCTGTGGATATGTGGCAGAATACAGGAAAGCACTGCATATGATTTTGTTTCACTACACTAAAAATGATGAAGTCCACTTCTGCTCCTCTCCTCGCCGCGATGAGGTTAGGGATTCCCCCATAGGAAACCGTGTATAATGCTTTTCTATGGGGTTTTGTGTGACGCTGGACTTCCCTATGTATAGTGTGAGGAGGTCCAGCGTCATTTAGGTGACCAAAATTCACCTAATGACCTGGAAGTCTCTCTAGTGGCAGGTACCTATTGGAGTTTCTTAAAAAATGCAATAATTACCTTTGAAGGGTTAAGGGACCTGGGACACTGCACCCAAACAACTTCCATGAGCTGAAGTGGTCTGGGTGCCTATAGTGTCCCTTTAACCCCTTAAGGACCAAACTTCTGGAATAAAAGGGAATCATGACATGTCACACATGTCATGTGTCCTTAAGGGGTTAAGGTCCAAATAGCCGAACGGGAGAAATTCTTTGTTAGCTGTGCTTTCCGTTCAGCAATTATGGCCTTGAATTTGAAATTAACTTTAAATTCACTTACAGGTTATGAACTAAATTGAGAATTTAAAGTGAATTTTGAATTTAAGGCCAATGTAACTGAACTGGGAGCACAGCTGACTTAAAGAATTTTTCCAGTTCTATTTTTACTTTGAATTTGAAATCACTTTGAATTCTCACTTTAGTAGATAAACCTGTCAATACTTAACGTTTAGAACATTGCACCATATTAAGAATACTTTTCATACATCTTCCACATTGCTCTCCTCTCCTTGTGCTCTTATCATATTGACTGCCCAGTGCAAAGGCCTTCTACAACAATTATTGACATGGAACGAAAGTGGACATGTACATTTCCAAGATAGCGGTACAAACATTCATTTTCTTATAAGATAGAGAGGATCACTCACTAAAGTGAGAATTCAGGGTAATATCAAAGTGAATTTTTAATTTAGGGGGTTAAAGTAGCTGAATTGGAAGCAAAACTGACTTACATAATGTTTCCAGTTAAGCTATTTTGACCTTACATTTGAAATTAGCTTTGAATTCACTTTGTGGCTAAACCTAATAATGGATTTTCAAACTGGTGCTTCGGAATTTACAATAGTGAAAAGCAAAGTATAAACAAGCTGCAAGTTATGTTACTGCATCTAGATTAAGTAACACCTTAGTAAATTGAAACACTAAAGAAGATAATGTTGCTCTAATGTTACGTATTTGAATACATTCTTTTAATTTAAACATTCAAAAAAGAACACAAAATACATGGGTCTCAATTTAATATTGCTGGATAAGCTTTTCTAAATGATTTCATATATTTGGATACACTTTTCAAATATTTTTTTCAAAATATTTAAATATTAAAAAAATACATTATATATATATATAAAAAAAAAATTATATATATATATATATATATATATATATATATAAGTATTACAAAATTACAAAAATGTTTCATAATTTTAAATAATTTTAAGAGTTTATAAAAAAATATGAAATAATTTGAAAAGTGTATTCAACTATTTGGCATTTGTCACCTTATTTGAAATAGTTTACACATTTATGTCATAACATGAGTCTCTTAAAGTGCCAACATCATTATTACATATGTTGTTCTAAGAACCCAACAACGGCCATGGAACCAGCAGCAATCCAGCAACAAGAATTTTCAAGTAAGACAATTGCTTAAAGTTTGTACAGGCAAAACTCAAATAGAGCAAATTCACTGCAAGTCCCAGATCTATACTTCTGCCTTTTTCATAAAATGCAGTTAAGTTATTTTCACATCAATCGTCTAACATAAAAGCTCTCTGATTACTATTATTTCTGCACTGCAACTTTGTATGGAGTTCTGTAAAAAATAAACAGTCCATTCAATTGGAGACTATGCTGTACATCCATACACATTGCATATTACTGTTGAACTGTGAAATAGACCATACACAGATTGCATAAAAGTAAAAATTCTATAAAACATCCATACACAGTGCACCCATATTGCATACTACTTGGAGCTAATTTTACCTAACTTTTAACACGATGATTGTGGGAGTCCTTGTTCTCATTTATGGCGTGCATTTTGTGCGCCAAAGGCAGTCGTTGATTCAGTAGATGTTCTACACTCTTCTGTAGGTGGAAAACATCTTGGGGGTATAACATTCGAGTCATATCCCTGTGTAACTTTTTAGTCGATCTCTCATATGTAATTACACGCCAGCTGGTGAGCCAACTGTATTTGTGGCCTCCAGTTGGCCCTGTGGCCAAAACCCTGGGCGTGCTTATTCAGATACACATTCTTTAATAAATCAGATCATATGGAATGACATATATGATAGTTTCACACACGTCAGGAGCTCCAGATAGACATCCTAGTCAGTGGGTTAATGTTTTGAATTCTGGACAGTACTGATGTAATTGCTTATATATTGTATATAGCAGATGGCGTTTCACATTTCCAACACATATATTACCTTAATATCATATGCAGAACCAAGACAGCTCTTGATACCTCTCCAGATCGCCTGCTTATGATGCATTTACCATAAAAGCCATGTGTATATTAAACACTTCCAGTTGTGCTATTGTAGATGGTTTGTCCAACTGGAACTCAGCTGGAAGGATTATATAGCAATAATAGAGGTGAAAGCAATTAGATAAATGTCGAGAAAGGAATTTTGGGATTAAAAATGTTTAAACTGGGGGCGGGGCCTGGCCGGGGAGCTGAGAGGCAGCAAATCTCCTCAGCTCTCTCAATCTGAATCATATAGAGCGGATTTCATGGATCAAAAGACGTCTTACCGACACAAAAAGGTCACCAACAGAGAGGTGACAACCAGAGGCACAAGTGGATACCATCCGTGGCACAAAGCTAGTAATATTCCCCTAAGATGAGGTCGAGGCCTAACAACATGGCGGGCTCGGAGGAGACGGCGGCTCCTCTGCCACCAAGACAGACTGTGCTTCTGCGGAGGGGCTCTCGTTCCCCCCCTCAGGGCTGGTGGGGGTTATCCCGGTCCATCCCCAGCATGAAGGTACTTACCAATGAAGAGGGGCCGACAGGCGGGAGACACGAGGCCAAAGCAAAATGGCGGACGGCACAGACACCAGCACAAAGAAACAAAGTCCCGGGGACTGGGCCGCTGCCTTTCAGGCAAAGTTTGATGCAGTCTGCGAACGCTTCTGGGCACAGTTGGAGGATAGGCACCAGTCACTACAGCCATCAACGGCTAGCACCACGTCACGGGCATCCACACTGCACCAACCAGACAGTGCTAACTCACACCAGACCAAGAAGCAGATGGTGAAGGCCCAACCGGGAAAAGCACTCTACGACACTCCACGGACAGCAGACAACCAACTGAAAGGCCGACCTATAGCACTACACAGCCAGAGACTTACCCACAAGCGGCAGCCACACACGCTCAAGAAGAGCAAATGGAGCACCACGCGGGAGACCCAGGGCCCAACTACGACTCAGGCACGCAGAAACGGAGCACCGGCTCACCAGCGAACCCAGAGGTGGAAGGGTTCCCCACCTCCACAGCGCCCCGTTGAAACTAAACGCACACCTAGACATACTCACCCACTCCACCTGGCAGCAACCGGGGCCAGAAGCCTGCACCCTTCAGCACCACCACAGTCCCGGATCCTGCCAACACACCAACTACTTCAACCGGCTTCCGTGCGCAGAAACCCGACCAACCCCGCCAGAAGAATGAAACATGGGACACCCAAGACAGGCAACGGAGGCATGGGATCCCGGGCTGCGCACCCGCTCCGGTCGGAGTCACTAACGGGCCACAGAAAGGACTATCTGCTCCAGCACATAAGTGGTATCGGGTGAAAGTCTGTGGCTGTGGGAACTCTCTGTACTGCAGCTGAGTACACTACATTCATCTGACATTTATTGTTTGGCTTATCCCTATTACTCTGCAATTCCCTACCTCTGCCTTATTCCAGCAGTTTTATAACACATGCATTACCAGTCTGTACTTCAGTGCCTAATCTATGTGTCACTCAACCATTTTACATAATAGGGCAATATTGCCATAGGATATTTCCCCGCCTACACCTGTATGTCTAAACCTACTCAGGAACGAACGTTCCCCTTTAATTTGCCTAGCAGGCACTATAAGCACTGACCTAACTCAACCAGCCCATATAAACCTGTTAAATTAATATATACAATAAACGTTGATGAGCCGGTTTAGTATAAGCCTTTTCCTAACGCTCAGTGAAAGCATAGGTACCAGAATAGGCATGCTATGCAATACTTACATTGAGGTTAACGTAACCTAAAATGCACGTTTTCTTGTTTAACACTACCTTTAAAAATTGTGCTGTTTCTCCAATGCTACACATTTGTTTTACCATGTTGAAATACCTGCGCCTGTTTCTGCTGTTGTGGCATGGCAGTCATCATTGTAATCATCTGCACAACAAAAATAAAGAATATAAAAAAAAAAAAATGTTTAAACTTTGTAGATTCTAACATAAAATATATGTTTTGGGCTGCTTTATGCTCACAAGGGTTAAGTTACTAAACTTCAAGTTAGAATAAATGGAAGTCCGAATGGTAAAACGTTGGCTAAAATAGATGATTTCAAAACAATTCTCAGCTTTAGTCCCAGCTTCATTGTTTTAGCCTCAGTTTATTAATTTTGATGTTAATTTGCCACAATTCTGCATTTAATGATCAAACTATTATTCCTCTATGACCTAAAGGAAACTCTTTTCACCATGCTTCACCCTCCCATTGAACAGTCTACTTACTGTGAAATCATATTATCATCTCAAATCATCAAATCATCTAGCTGTAAAACTATAAGGTGTTTAAATAACAGCCTAGAACTATTATCTATATACATAAGTGATATCAAGGTAAGATGCAGTTATTGGTAGAATCCTTGTAAAAAAATATTTAGCTGAGTAAATTTGTAAACCATTATATGATTCAAATTTGGGTTCTGGTTTGAGTGACATGACAGCTCGCTTTTCTCATTTCCCTTTCTGGTAAATAGCAAAGATTCGTTAGATCCCAATGTCCATTGTCCGTTCTAGAATGGTCCAGCAAGAACCATGAGTTGTCTTTGGTTTTTCTCATTAGACTAATGTCTTGCCTACTCACTGATTCTTGAGTATCTTGCAAAACTATTTTAACTGATGCGAGATCTAGATCTAAGACACCTCTTGAGACATGAGCCCACCTCCTACATTTATGTTCTATAAAAGATATATAAAATATCGCCTTGTTATTCTCTTTAGGGGAAATTACCTTACTAACAAGGAAATATAATTTTTACAAACTCTGCCTCAAAATGTAACCAACCACACTGCTCCAACATTCTCACATTTAATCAAATCCGTGCCTGAACTAAACTTACTGCAATAATATGCTTTGTCAACTGGGGGGGAGTCCCATTGTTCAGCCCTATAGAATTTGCTGGCGCTATAAAAATAATAAAATAATAATAAAAATAATAATAATAAGTGACGCAAAAAGTGACATTATTTCTGCTCTTGTGATTTACTGTAAGGCTCATGCAAAAATCAACTTTTTAGTCTTTATTTTCACAGGGTTCTGCATTCATTGAAGGTCCCTGAGGTTAGCAGGAGGTGTCTTATTGTTTACAATAATATGGAATTGTTGCACATAGAAGAGTCATATTTAAAAAAATTACAAAAAAATTAAACCACCACCTAAATAATCTATCAGCAAGTGGGAACAATAAGAAGAAAAAGACAAAAAACACAACCCACAATGACAGTTACTATACACTAATGTTCAGCTCACACCCATCTAAATAACATTGATAATTTGACTTATTAGAATGACTGGGTGTATTCCTTTCAGAAAGGGCTTGGGATTGTTACTTTCAAGCAGAAAGCACGTTCGAATGATCAGTCTCACACTCCCAGGAGACATTTAATTCCCAAATCAGATTGCTTGAAATAACTCAGTTACCCCACTGCAGACGCATTAGTGACCCCACAAGCTGGAATGGCTGCCCCCACTTTCCGCCTCTGGTGCTTTTTTCCGTCACAGGACGCTGATTCAGAAATTCTTCAGATAACTATCAAAAAGCTACTTGTGTTTGCACTCCTTCAGGTTCAGCCAAAAGTCCTCTGGCAGGGGCATAAAAATAGGGGGAAAGTGGGGAGGAAGCTATGTACATGTAAGTCCTAGCAGGAGGGGAGGGGGGGGGGGGTACACTTGTGCAGATAACTGGGGAGAGGCTGCTTATAAGAAATCACATAAGACCTGCAGTAGTTTAAAAAAAATATGTCCTCATTTGAAATGTGAAATGCAGCACAGTTTATACAGTTTCTGTTTTATTTAACCTCTTCTAACCAGTCGATGAAGAGGTTAAATGAAACAGAAACTGTATAAACTGTGCTGCATTTCACATTTCAAATGAGGACATATTTTTTTGCACAAGTGTACCCCCCCTCCCCTCCCCTCCCGCTAGGATAAACCTACACAGGTGTATGCATAAACATATAACATGCAAATAAAGCTGGATTTGTCAGTAAGTAGAATACGCACCTTACTACAGGTGCTTTTTCTATATTATGTGATTGATATCTACACAACAATAATTATGGTCATAGCTGCTACCTATTCCAACAGTACCAAATTAATCTGTGTGATCTGTAAACCCCTCCAGGTTGATCATATCGTATTTCCTATTGATGGTCCAGACTGCCAACAAAAAAAGGGTGGCATGTAAGGGTGGCGTGTACTGGGAAAAATATAGAACAAATGTACATCACTACATACCACTTCTATTACTAATATTTACCACTTCACATACTACATACACGCATGCACAGACTAAATATATGCATCTATACATGCCATAAAGACATTGACATACTAAGTTCACACATTCATATTTTAAATATGTTACTACACTTTACATGCATTTAGTGACAAACTGCATTGATTCATTGACTCTGCATTTAAATATTTTGCATACTACATACATTCAGCTATATACTACATGCATGTATTCACACAGTACAAACATGAATTTATACAATGCATGCTTGCATATATGGATTAGAAGATTATTAAACACTATAGCTACATATTTCACATAATGCATGTATATGATTATACATTTCATACAAAAATATTCATATGTGCATTCAATTACTGCATACATGCATCAATGCAATAAATACATGCATTTGTGCACATACTCACAAACTACATATGCAATCACGCAGTCACAAAAATACATATGGGTCTATCCTCACATTTGCCTGTTAAACACATGCTGTCACACATGCCAGCAAATGAAACATACACATGCATCTACACATTCACACACTCATTTACCCATGCACACATACATCTACACACGTTTTACGCTAAGAAAATGTATATGTAAAATGTATTTAAAGCTGGTCCTGGTCGGTCCCAATGACATGGAAGCATAATGGTCTAACCCAGCGGTTCCCAAACTGTGTGCCCACACAGGGAAGCCGCAAGATATTTTTCCGGTGCTGTGATCATTTGATAATAGCACCGGGAACTGTGCCTCCCTTCCCCCTGCCAGCTCTGCCGGACTATAGGGGAAATCAGAGATCTCCCTCTCCGGCCCGCTTGCACTGAAATGTTGGCAGCCGGCAGGGGAGGGAGGGAGAGAGGACCCGGGGGAGCTCTAACTTGCAGCTCCATCGGGTTCTCCTCTCATGAGCTCGGAGCATTGCCGCAGTTACAACAGCAACTCTCAGAATCTCGCAAGAGTGAACTCTAGTAGCTCCTGAGGCTGCTAGAGTTCACTATCACCACTTAGACCACCAGGGCTTCCCCACCAGACCACCAGGGATTGTCCCCCCTGCCAGGCAAAGGTAAGCAGGGAGGGGGCATATTAAAATAAGTTTTTTAATTAAATTAAAAAACATTTATTAATTAAAAAAACTAAATAAAAGTATATATGGATCTGCCCTCCTACACCCACAGACCCACACAACTCCTCCTACATACACATTGTCCCAACAATAAACACACACATTAACCCCCCATACACACACTATCCCCATACACACACATTATCCCCCACATACACACAATGCCCCACACACACACATTAACTCCATACACACACTGACCCTACATACACACACTACTCCTCATACACTGCTCCACACACACACACTGTACCCCCTGACGCAACCTGCCCCCCATACACACACATTACCCCAATGCACACACACTGCCCCCCCATACACACACAAACAGTACCCCTCACACACACTGTATCCCTCATACACTTCCCCACACACACACTGTACCCCTCACACACACAATGTACTCTTCACGAACAAACTGCCCTACATACGCACACTGCACCCCTCACACACACAGACTGCATCCTTCACAAACACAAGGCACCCCTGTACACTCACTGCACCCCACACATGCACGCACACACACATACACTGCACCTCTCACACACACTGCACACACCCCCACACACACTCCACCACTCACACATACATGCACATATTGCACCCCTCACACACACACATATTGCACTCCTCAGACACATACATATTGTACCCCTCAGACACACACATATTGCACCCTCACACACACAACTGCACCCCTACTTCAGCCCCTATTTCAGCAGGTCCCAGGTAAGTTGTCAAATTGTTCTTAAAAAGTTTGACTACTCACTCTGGGAGGACACTACGGCCCTACTGGCACCATAACCACTGCAAAGGGCTGTGTTGATTATTGTGCCTGGATTGTTTCTTTAAATAATCTACCAGTACCCCTCCCGAGATTAGGTTCTGGATCTGCGCTTGAACAAGGGCCCAGTATATGCCGCT